GGGTAGGAAAATATCTTAATATAGTATCAAAACTTGTTTTTATTGCAGCATATTGCGTTAATTTAGAGGCAGACGTGTATGTTCAATATTTTAATGGAGGCAGCGATCAGAATTAAAATGAATAACTAATTAAAAATGCCTTATCATGCTGCTTTGGTTAGGGATATTATTGAAAACAACAACAAGACATAACGAATATATGTAACCTATTTCGGTGCGGCAAACTAAATTATAAGTCTTTTATAATACCAACTAACTTAATGATGGCCTATAATAGCACAATTTAAAAAAATAATACGTGAAAAATGCTTTGATACTAGGAAACCAGACGCCGGCAACAAGTAGAAGCTGCGGAGCGGCGCGCTGCTCAAGAAGCTGCTCGTGGGGTGAAAGACCCCAGCAAAGTATTGCGGAACCAACAGAGAAGTGAAGAAATGGAAAAAAGAGAACAAGAATTGAACATGCAGGGTGGTGCTAATTTGAGAGTATGTATTTTTTTATGATAAATAAAAATTTCCCTATTATGACATTTCAAACAATGTCGGTAGTTTGGGTGGAAATTCTCTCTAGTACTATTTAGCCATTAACACTTTAATCATCATTGTCATTACTTGGTTGGTTAAATTCATCAAACCCCAAGTGCATGAATGTTTGCACACCTATAGTTCTTTTATTGTCTTGAATAACCATGACTGAAAGGTTAATTGGTCGTCCAGTACCAGATATTTAAGTCTATCTATTTAAGTTAAAAGTTGAATAATCTTTTATGGAAGTTGCTAAGTGACTACTTCCTGTTTAACCACCTTAAATTGGATCTTGAGGATGTTTTCTATTGAGTCTTCTAGTGCTTGTTTGGGCATTCATCCAGATTTATTGCTAGCATATTTGTGTAGTGAATAAAACGCATCTCTCAAGACTCAATCCATTCTAAAATCTGTAATGAGTTATCTGATGAGAGGATTGCTATATAAGAGAGTGCAGTATACTGCATCATTGTTATTGTTCCAGTAAACATTCCTATATTGTATAAGGTAAAACAATAGTCACTAAGTATTATCAACAAATTCATCAGTATGCTTGAGTTATAAGAAACAATAAGTACTACTATATGGTTTTAATTATATCTTTTCTGTTGTTTCCTTTGCTTTCAAGCGTTTGCAGATGCAAACGCTTGAAAAGATTGGCAGATGCCAATCTTGTCACAGGGTTGGTTTTTTTAATAGCATAATATTGACAGTTTCTATTCTGTTTTTATGTGATAGGTCAGCAAACTATGGTACGGATTACCTGATTGTAAGCAATCGGTGCCACCATTTATATTAGGAGATTTTGGGATTAAATGACCACCAAAATCCTGTATTTAGGAGTCCATGATATTCAGAGTTAACATAGTTTAGGATCAGGGCTCAAACTGGAGCTTGATAATGTACCACGGCTCCCGGATCAGGCGAAGGAAAAGGAACAAGATGACTTTTAGTCAGTCATAGTATGACACTCCCTCTTGCCCCGCACCACCTTTAAACTTAGCTTCTGTATATTTACAAACCCTTGTATTGTGTCCTTTGGTTGTTAAGGAAGAATAAAATTATTTTTGTTTTAAAGATGAATTTTACATTAAAAGTGCCTGTGTGTTTTATTTTAATAACAGTGTGGTGTAATATTTCTATTCTCTATTCCACAGTGGACATCAGGCTGAGACGAGGCTCCAAGTGGGAGCTGTCAGAGCGGTCAGACTGAACCCAAGGACAAGAATGAAAAATACAAATATAAAAATTGACCGCAACACGGATCTATGTCCTACACACCTACACTTAATTTAGAGATGTGATGTCACGGAAGTAGATGTTAGCTGAAAATAGCACTGGGTTTAGAATTCAACTGTTTTTGGTCATACTTGGTATAAAACAGTATTTTTTGCACAACAATATGTGTTAAAAACAACAAAGTTTTTGTTAAAACAACTTTGCAAAATTTACATCAAGATAAAAATTAAGTTTAGAATACTATTTAGTTTGGTTGATAAAAATCCAACTATTAAACACTACTCATTCATATTTATTTTCAAAAAGTACTATTCTATAATTCCAAAATTATAATGTAGGTCCAAAGGAGGAAAGAAGAAGGAAATTTGATTACTAGATCTTGGTTTCCTATCTCTTTTTTGGGTGAAATATTAAGTCTTTCTCAGAAGTGGTATAAAGCCTAGAATTATATCCCATTAAGCATATAAAATTGGGGAACAGTGTGACTTGCAGTGTCCTTGTTTAGAGGCAGTTGCCGCATAGCTGGATATTCTCCAGTATAGTGTATGTGTTTAAAAACATAACATTAACCCAGACCTGTTAATATTATTGTAGTGACAGGAATCCTGATTCCTCTTAGTAGAATGGTGGAGTAGTGTTTGTGTATTTGGACAATAATGTCTTACTACTATTAAAAGCACACTACAGCCTTGCACCCTTTCACATCTAGACTGAATATATAGGTACATTTGATATTGAACTTTAACATGTTGCAGTATGGTTAAAAATCATATACATAAGTTAAAAAAAATCGAAGAAAGAGTTAAGGAGTTTTGAACTCTATAAATGTAGAATAAGATTCAGTATTGTATACATATATCTTGCATGTTCTTTTTCACTTATCTTTAGCTACAATGCTACGACAAGTTGTCTATAATTATTATTATTATATAAGTGTTATCTGTTTGTGTGGGTTTTCTGTGCACTGTGAAAGTCAAATTCAATGCCTAATGCCCTCTCACTTACACATAACAATAGGAGATCCATTTCCATTGTAAAATTAAGTTAATTCCACTGATGATTTATATTTATTGTGCTACTCAAATGTATATTAGATGTTGGCTTGTCTTAAATATTATTGGATGTTAAGGGTCTGTTTCACTACTGCTGAATAAGATTCTGTATCATTATTTTACATAAGAAAACGTCAAATTTTCGACCAATTAGCTGCCAGTTAGTAACTACTTGGTTTTCTGCTGAATCGTCTTTAAATTGGCTTAGGTAGTAGAGATAGATTTTTGGGACATTTTGAATGAAGAATAAACAAACATTCAGTGTCTTTTAAGAAAATCTACATAATAATATAGTTATACAATTTATCAGAAACTTGGCCAGAAGCAGTGAAATACGGCCCTACTGTATGTTATGTAAGTGTTAATTTTTTGGTTAAAAACTATTACTTTTTTTTTGTAATAAGTGTATAATAAATGTTAAATATTGTGAATATCATTTTTATGTTGTAGCCACTTTGCAAAAGAGTTGATTACACGAAATATTACTATGTTTAAGTCAAATTGAGATTTATAAATGAGTATTAATATAAAATTGGTAAATGGAATAGTTGGTAAGTAAAATATTAAATTATAGTGTTACACTAAATCGACAAAACATTGGCCTATTACCTTAATAAAAAAACTGTCAGACTCTACTACAGTAAGTACAGAAAGTCACGAAACTATAGAAGTCGATTTAAAAACGATTTCATACGTGAGTTTCAATAGTTAGGGACATGACTTATTAAAAACACATTTAAGTATACCACTGTGTCCTAAGAATTTTCTAACTTACCTCTTGCTCAATATTACGAAAAATCTAAAGTTTTATACAATCTTTTAGACTGTTGTTATAAAACTGTAATATAATCAGTATTTTTGGTAAACGAAACGAAATGTAGAATTTAGCGATGTGGCTACTACATACGCACTGAATGTAATGTATGATATTTATATTATTAAAAAATGAATGTAATTATACGTGTTGAATACAGAACCGGAGGTTTTATCTTATCTCTATATGAACATGTAGGGGACCTTATCAGCCATTATTCACGCATATTTTTTTTGTTTGTGTCATCTTGATCATTATATTCCCGTTGCCCAGTGATTAAAGACCTTCAACTTTTAAAGCGATGCACGCAGACTCTGGGTTGTTTTATCAACACCGCCTATCTGGTAAAGTTCAAAGATATCATTTAGTCAGATAAGCAAAGATGGACAGATCTTATATGTCTGTTTTTTATAGTTAAGTAGGTAAGTAATAAATCAGCTTCGTCTTCGGACTCCCGTACCACAGGAGTTTCAAGTGCGTCGACAACTCTTGGGAGGGAGGGGGGGAGAGGGTGGTTGACCTGCTGCAGTCTTATAATTAGGTAGTCAGGGCGAAAAGTCAAACAAGCCTTGGCTTTCTACGGCGGTTTTCAGTGCCTGGTCAATTCGTACCTACCTAAGCATTTTGATATCGATTGTTGGCCATATATTATAAATATTATGAATTGGTAAAAACACTAAATCGTTAAGCTGAATGTTAATTAGACCAGACTTCGGTAGTGATCAAGATTCTGTACATTGGCATTTTACAAAATGCTAATATGTTAATAGACTTTATTATCCAAGCAGTAGATAAAGTCCTTAGATCATTTTCGTACTTTGAATTAATGTTACCAATTTAGTTTAACTGCTTATTTAAACCAGTGGGCGATTTTGCGACTGCCTAGTGTAGTGTCTCTGCTTTGATTCTCGGATTCTTTGCGAAAAATTCAATTGAAATATTCTCAATGGTAGTGAGTAGGCTCAGGCATTAAAATATGTCGCTAGACCCAAGGGCGGATCCACCGTTGTGGGCACGATTTACCGTAACCTTAATACACTTGTGATTGAAATAGGTTTGGATCGAAACTGACTATTAGAAATTGAAGAAATCGTGTCCGACTTCTTCCTAAGTTTATTTACATTCCTATGGCCAAAGTTCTGATGCTCAGAAAAAAGGACATAATCTAATTCATAAGTGATTTGCATGATTGTTAATGAGCATGTCCTTGCTCCGACTCGTACTTAGCCGATTTTCTAGTAGCTGTGACCACAACCTTTTTTGAAGTCTGGATCCGCGCTTGCTAGACCTACGTGAGAATGCAGATTTTTAGAAATAGTAGATTTTTAGTTAGTGATTCGTTCTTTAAGTAAATAGGTAGTAATAATGGAACGGAACGCTCGTGACAGACAGGATCATCTGTTTGCCGAATTTGCTGTCAAAATTGACAAGTATTACACCGCGTTTCTCGACCCTCGTATCGGTTTGTTGTGATATCTTGTTTTGTATCAGTATTATTACATAAAAGGAATAATGTCTGACGGCAGAGACGGAGATAAGAAGGTAAAATATAGTTTATTATCTACAGTGTGACTGAATTATGTTTGTTATCGCACGAATGCCAATCGGTTTGTTAGACGCATTTATTTATCTTCCATGACCTTGCTAAGGCTTAGAGGTCGTCGATGGGTCACATAAAATCACTAAGATTTGCTCCTATCTCCAGCACATGCCGTTGCCATGATAATCTAGCAGTTTAACAAATACTTTATCACGTTTACAGTAGCCAACCAAGCCGCATCGTATTTGAGCCTTTGACATTTAAAAAGATAGTGCGTAAAAAGTTTGGCGCCTATTTTTGAAACTGAAAGTTCCGCTTCCGAGTTGGCACGTAATAAAAACAAATAATTAGTTATATAACGTTTATTTTACGCAGTTCGGGAATATTTAAACACGTCGCTTGTGTATGACATTATTGTAGGAACAAATGTTTGTTTTTATGCCTTGATTGATTACCTATTTACCTTAAAGAGGCCTCAACCTTGAGTTGAGATGATGATTAAAAAATATGCTTCATCATTGCATAGAAACTGTTTCTACAAAATCTAGTATTTATTATAGTTTTTTTTTACTGGAAGCAAATCTTGAAGGACAAACTATTTAAGTTTAATAATATTTGTTGTGAGATTAACATGCTAAGAATAATATTTGGGAATTATTTACTTACATTTTGATGTGTTGTAGTTATCTGCTTAGATCTATCTTCTCTTCTGTACGCAATAGGTTACTTACTAAAAATAAATTGTTGTCTATGGTGCTTAATTTCTTTTTTATTAATTAAACCTTTCAGGCTGATGACAACAGGCTGAAGCCAGCGGTAAGATTACTTGCTTCAAAACCTATATACTATAAATGTTTAATAACATTTATCATTTAAATGTTTACTTATTTTGTTTATAAATGTAGATTATGTGAATAATGGTATTATATTTTACTAGATTTTATTACATGTTGGTTTAAACAGTCATTTCAATAGACATTAAAACTACCCCTCATGGGCTTCACCTGGTTTCAATCCTTTTGTTGTCTGGTCTTTTAATTTTGGTAATATGTTATAGATTTTAAAATATGTAGATTCAGTTTTATTTCACAAAATGGTTATTAACAATATATTTTTAAAATTTTAACCCTGCATAACAAGCATGTTACCATTACATTCTCATAGAAATCTAACATTCTTTATTATTTGTTTTTTAAATGGTCTAAGGATTATTACAATTATTACATTACAATTAATTACAAATTTTTATGTCAACCCCATATTATATCACAAAAAAAAAATCTGCAACTTTTTTAGAAAATGTATCAAAAGACTGCATGATAAATTCCTTCTTTGCATGAGATACTTATTTTAGTCATAGATTTATTCATACGTAACTGGCGGGAATTACCACAGAGAAAAAATATTTTGATTGAGGAAATAGAAAAAAAAATGTTTTTACTTATTTACCTTCTTTACATTATGTCAACTAGCTAAGTTAAATTTAATAACTCGTAATAAGGCATATTGTGAAAACAATATCATTGCTCTAATGTAAAAACCGAAAATGTTCCATTTGTGTTTATTTAATTTACCATATACTAATAAAATTGGATAACATCATTACACACCTTTCTATTGTGCAAAGTAGGCACCTGTTACTAATATATTGATAACTAGCTTCCACCCGCGGCTTCGCTCACGTGGTAAGTTTATAAAAATCAGCCTTTGTGTTAATCCACGGAATCACCTGTCTATACCGAATTTCTACCAAATCGTTTCAGCCGTTTTTGCGTGACAGAATAATCCCTGAGAATAACAAACATACATTCATCCATACATTCTCACAAACTCTCACATTTATAAAATTAGTAGGATATTAGTAGGATAGTAAGATATTAGTAGGATAGTAGCATGAAACCACTGTCTTTAAAGCTTAAATTGTTTAATCAGGATTCGAAACTGCGACATGTCGCGCAGCAGCTATATCTACCAACCAACAATAAATATTATAGTATAATGAAAGCAGCCTGACTACCTATTAATATTAACAATATAAAAATTAAGTGTAGGAATGACATAAAATGGATCGTCATAATCATCTGAATTGTCATGCAGTAAATTTTCATTATCTCAACCTATATCACAGATTTGTGATAAGATAGATATAAATATTTTGTTTTCTAGCTACCTAGTTACATATTTATATGATTTTTGGATTTTTTCAATTTATTGTGAGTGTGGTATAAATATACTTAGGATTAAAGTCGTTGTAGATCGAGTGGTCATTAATACGGTTGTCGAATGAAAAATCTTGGATTCGATTGTTTTCTATTACAAACGTGATGAGTTTACATGAGCAAACCTTGGTCATCCTCTTTCGTAGAATTAAAGTTATATTATTGTGAATCTATAGCCTTATTAATATTGTAAAGTGCAAGAATGTCAGTCTTAAGTGTGGGAGAGCCAAGCTTCGGCACGAATCGGTCGGCTCGACCGGAGTGATACCACGGCCTCACAGAATACCGACGTGAAACAACCACAGCGTTGTGTTTCGCCGTGTGAATAAGGTTACCGGAGGCCCAATCCTTCCCCTCCCGCCCAATCCCTAAATCTCCAAAACCATAATCCCTAAAAGGTCGGCAACGCACTCGTTACTCCTCCGTTGCGGGTGTTCATGGGCGGCGCTGATTACTTACAATCAGGTGATCCGTCTGCTCGTTTGCCTACCTATTTCATAAAAAAGGGAAATATTATCAAATGTCTAGTTGGAGGTCTGAGAGAGAGTGTGTCAGACTCTTACTGACTAAAAAGTACTCCATTTCCTCACATGGTCTGAGCCGGGCCGCTAGGTGGATGTCTGGGTAGGGTGAGACAGTGTCAGACTCTTAGTGACTAAAAAGTAAAAATAATCTACCAAATGTACCTATGTATCACAAATAAAGATTTCATTTCAAAGTAGCTCGTTCCTTCTCCTGCTCGGAGCCTGGCTGCAGTACTTACATCTTTGGGCTGGCACCTGCAATCCCGCTTACTATTTTGTACAACGCTACGACAAAGTAGCAATTTTAATTGTAGGTATAACTATCTTCACCTATCTTTCAACCGTGCTCGGTTTTTATTGCGTTCTAGAATCATGTTTTATAACCTATTAGCGTTTCTCGATATATGAACTATCCTTAAAAACACTCTTACGCACCAGTATTTCTGGAGATTATTGTGTTGAAATAAAAAAAATATTTTTGCATATGGATAATTATAATTTCAAGCAAGTCTGCAGATGGAATCGTAAGAAAACTTGACAGCATGGAGAATGATGTAGGCTACTTCTTTTCCTTTGGCTATGAGGGTGAAGGTAGTAAGGAACAACCAGAGTAGAGAGTAGAGGTTTTTAAGCGGCAGTGTTCTGCCTAATGAGGATGATATAGACGATAACAGTATCTACTTATTCCTCTTCCAGTTTCCTCCTCCCATCCCTTACCTCCAAGAGGTCGGTGACGCACTTGTAACTCGGTGTTGCGATGTCCATAGGCGGCGCCCCAATTGCCCACCATCAGGTGAGGCATCTGCTTGTTTGCCCGCTAATCCCATAAAAATATTATTCTTTAGGACATAATAACTACAATATACTTTGATGGTTGTCAGTAATGGGATTACCTGCCCTAAAATTCAACCTTCAAATTATATTATGTACCTACAGTTTGCACTGTTATGTTATGTAGGTGCAAATAAAATGAAATAATTCAATGAAAATCTAGGCGTTCCCTAAATAGGCTGGTACTGATGTATAAGTACATATTTAGGTATAGTGGTCCTGATCGTTTTAAGTACGAGCATGCAAATATAATACAAGAATTTATAATGCAATAAATCTGGGAAATAATAATATAAAAGGGTTCAGTGCAGAGACAGTAGGATTTAGTTTGGCTTAGACGTCGTGGGGTGGCCGACCTGCAGCCACCGTAGAGTGCGGCCTGCAGACGACAGACTCGGGGCGTATTGTCGTCCGACCAGCAGCAGGCCTCGAGGCAGAGGCGCCGTGTTCCGCGAAAAAAAAAGGATTTAGGTAGTTTGGCTTTGACCTATGGTTACAGCTACGTACCAAATAGTCTATGAAGACTTACATACATCTGGGGTTGCATATACAAGCGCAATTATCTACCGCGGCCTCGGCCTGGAGCAGGAGAAAGAACGGGGGGGTTTTTAGTCAGTAGGCAACAGATGATCTGATACAACGTCTTGCTCCAGTCAGAGCGGAATAAGTCATATGATGGCATTACCTCCTCGAAAAAAATACTGTTTACTTTATGTATACCCTTATACTTATTTATCTTTCAGAATACATCTTCACGACTTTAGGGAGGACTTTTATGGGTTCATAAACTTTATTAAGTGTTATTATTAAATTGACTACTAAATGTATAAAAGTAGAAATACAAGCTTCAGCCAGCGGCTTCATTCGCGTTATCCAAGTAAATAATAGCCTTTATATAATTCCAGATTGTAATCTATTTCTTTACCAATTTTCATCAAAATCTATTCAGTAGTTTACTGTCATACATTCGTACATGTTCTATTGTATGTACTCTCTACTCGAGTTTTTTATACGTCGCGTCGGTACGTGTTTTTTTTATACTAGGCAGGTAGGTACTTACCTGTTTTTATAATATTTACTCAACTGCTGTTACGTGGATCCTAATACACACGAGTAGATATGTAAGTAAACAAATTATGTTCAGTAAATATGACGTGACATATCAAAATACCTACTTATGCGCTTGTCAATATTTAAGTGCCTTTCTACGCAGAAAAAATTGCCAACCGATTCTTTGTAAAGTACCTACCTATTTCTCATTTCTTTTCGCCAAGGAACATCTTCACAGGGTTTCTGTCTTTGCTAGTTTTTTTAACAAAAGATTTAGGTATTAAGGCGACTAAGCCCATAACATCTACGTCTTTTCATTTAAGTATTTAAATGTCACATCTATCTATTTAATAGATGACCTTTGAGCACGCCCATTTT